CCCCAAAACCCCAAAACCCCAAAACCCCTAGAGTAAAACATAATCAGAAACAATGAAAGATATAATAATTGAAATCTTACCAAAAATTAAATACTTAATACGTTTTTGTCAGGCTATCTAATCTAATTGTACTTTAAAAGCCTAAATCAAATAAACAAAATTATACAATGGAAAGTTTAAGCATAATGCAAGCTAGCTAAGCATAGTCACCAGTATTCTATAGAAATAGACCAATTTTTAGTTGCTGTTGCGGTTTTTACTTTGGACGTTGGAATAGGTTTAACTTTATGATCAAAGATAGAGATTAGACAATGCATTTCAAATCATAATCGATTGATGTTTAAGTTCATGACATGATAGCCACCATCAACATATCATAAGTGTTCCTAAATGAATTATAAGATGCAGTTGAGGCAACCTACGAATTCCCAACAGACCCCGATGTTGTAGTCTCACGTCTTGTGATCGAAATGGATGATAGAGTAATTGAAGGCAAGATCTTGGAAAAAGAAAAGGCATAGGAAAAATACGATGACGCCATTGCTGGTGGTAATGCAGCAGTCCTAGTTAAAGAGAAAGATTAAAACAAAGATTTACTTTAAATGACAATAGGTGGAATCAATCCCCAGTAAGAGGTTAAGGTCAATGTATAGATGATAAAGCATTTAGAAATAGAGGCAGGCGCCTATTGTTTGAGGATTCCGACTTCATATTTTATCAAGAGTTACAATGATGTAAAATTAGTCCAAGACTTCACTGCAAATAAAGATAAATTCTCAACAAAATATTCTTTCACGATCAATGTCGAGACATCTAACCCTATAAAATATCTGAGTGTACCCAATCACTCTGATGTCGTAAAAAAGTCAGAGAATTCAAACACTTCCTTTACTATTTCTTAGCTGGACGGAAGTCCTAAGCTTTTAAAGAAGGATATTATTGTATATTTCAGAACAACAAAGATGGACTATCCAACACTTTTAGCTTAACCTCATCCTGAAAGAAAAGATGAGATCGCTTGTCTAATGTCGA